TTTCTTGATACCGAATATTCCAATGTTGCTTCAATGCATGGATTTGTGACCCCAATACCACCTTTTTTAACAGGTAAGGCTAGAATTTCGCGCTCTAGTGGGGAACATTTGTGATCAACCAAAACTGGCAGGAGGAATTTTGTAATCGCTTCTTCTAATGGTTGCAACAGATCTTGAATATCAGGTAATGTTCGAAGGAAGTACGTCCATCGATGTTTCAGCCCAAAAGTATAAACTACATAGCTTGCTTGAGGCTGTGTTGTTGCAAAATCAGCCAAATTGATTATCTCTTTTACCCATTCTTCCACCTTTTCGTTGACATATTCGTTCAAAATATCCCACCATTTCTTCAGCTGTATTGCGGTCCCTGCTCCACTAGCGTCGTCAGCAAACCAGCATTGCTTTGTAGAAGACGTGATGTGTAAGCGTGTAATAAGTGGTTGCAGACTGATCGCGTATAGAGCCATAGACAATGGATCGCCTTGCGTTGTGCCTTCCGATGATTTCATTACCTGACCACCAAGGACAAACAATCTCGTTGGCAGTCTATGCGTGTTTATCGCATATGTCGCAACCATCGGGCATAGGATCCTTATGTTGTTGAGAGCGGCTGCTCTATTTAGGGAATTAAATGCATTGGGCGCATCAATGAGTAGGATCGCTTCAGTCTCATCTTCATCGAAAATGTTGCGCATGGCGTGAATTGCAGCTTCACTTCCGGAAGGTTGACCCGCACATAACTGAAGTGAACCACTTGCACTCATCACATCGGGTTTGACAACCTTCATTACGCTTTTGCCGATTACTCTTCGTATCACTTCTCCAACTCCAATGGGTCGAACTCCACCTCCACCTTTATCTAAGGGGATAAGGCGACTTGCAACTAAAGCTTCTATTGACGATGGGTCAACATATTCCGTACAAAGGTTCCGTGCCAATGTTGCTAACGCATCACAAAGCGCTACTGACGAATGCTTAAATGACTTACATGCAAGGATTCTTTTAAACCCATTTGCATCAACACCAGATGGCCCCCCTAGTAGTAGGAAAACGCCGATTCTGGGACATTTTGGTGACAAACCCTCACCCCCACCCCCAGGGTGACAAAAAGACCGATTAACCACTACTGCGCACCCCTTCTGCGCAGATTTTGAATCACATGACCTATGACGTCACTTCTGGTTTACTGCGCACCCCTTCTGTGCAGATTTTGAATCACATGACCTATGACGTCACTTCCGGTTTACTGCGCACCCCCTCCCGCGCATCCCGATGACGTCACTTCCGGTTTCCCCGCAATCGCATTGCCCGGACTTGTCCAAAACCATGACGTCACTTCCGGTTTATAAGATGACGTGACCACAAGCCCCCCACGAACCCCCCGCCGCTCCACGCTTGAGGAGTCTCGCCTAGGCCTTACATAAGTCTTGCATAAGTCTTCCCTAAGTCTACCCAAAGTCTTCCCAAAGTCTTACCGAAGTCTTCCCAAAGCCTTCCCTAAGTCTTGCCTGAGCCTACCCATAGCCTACCCAAAGCCTACCCTAGGTCTACCCTAACCCTCCCCAAACCTTACCACCGCGCACCCCCCACTGCGCAGATTTGGATCGCGTGATCTATGACGTCACTTCCGGTTGAAAGAAAAATACCGAGTCAGCAGTTTTTGAAAAAAAAATTTTTTTGTGTATAATAAAAGGGTATCATTTCCTTATCTTGTCCACAGACCCTAGAACCTTGGACCAGACATCTTTCCTATTTCCAAACCCTTTGGGTTTGAAAAAGGCTGAATCAGCATTTCTGAAAATTTATTTTTTTTCTCTATATAATAAAGGAAAGATGTCTGAAGGTTCCAGAAAAATTACAGATAGAATAAGGGAATGGTACAACTGGCTAACCACCCACGTACCATCATCCATCAGGAAAGGTGTATCCGACGCTTTTAACACCATGAGGAAGGTTGTAAAACTGTACAGCGGTAAAGAGGAAGACCAGTGGTATGACGCAAGAGAGAACTTTAGCGACGAGGACGAACAGTGGTATGACACCAATCCGGAAGAAGACCTAAAACCCGTCCTAACCAAGCGTGGTATAAAAGGGAAGGCAAAGAAGTATGTCATTAATCCTAGCGGATCGTACGACCCGGTTCACTTCCTCGATACCACAAGGGACGAGGTTGAGACGCTCATAAATTCTGAAACAGAACCGAGGAACGTAAACATGTCTCTAGCATGCGAGATGGTAAGGAACGATCCGAAAACTGAGGAAGAAGTATCCGTCGTCGCACACTTCAGATCAAAAACCCACAAACTCGTCGGTACGGATAACACGGAAGAGTCTTTTAACACCATGAGGGAAAAGATGCTAAAATCCTTTTCCGAATATCAGAAGCGTGATAGTGGGTGGAGGCTTCGTAGGGTAGATCTGCTCGAAATTTATATCGGAGAATACCAATCGTTAAGGGGAAAGGGCTACGAACCATTATCCGAGACAATCAGGAAAAAGAAAGCGATCATCAACATGAAGAACGACGATGATGAATGTTTCAAGTGG